GTTATTGTTGTTATTATTATTATTATTATATTATATTATTATTATTATATTATATTATATTATATTATATTATATTATATTATATTATATTATATTATATTATATTATATTATATTATATTATATTATATTATATTTTATTATTATTATTATTATTATTATTATTATTATTATTATTATTATTATTATTATTATTGACACATGTCCTTAACGATAATGTGGGCGGTACATACAATGATGCCACCAAGCTTAAATGGTCAGAAGATGGCGAATGTAAAGACTAGCCCCCCCCCCCCCCAGACAAAGTTACTTTATTATCAAACATTTTGCAGCAAATTAGGGGGAAATATGAAAACAAATCGTTCGAATTCGACTTTCGAAGTTGATTGAAACGGCTGTAGTCGAGTACAACATGTACAATACTGTATTCTAAAAGGTGTATACATATAAAATACTGTTATTCTATTTTATTTTTATGTGACCAAGGTCTAACGCCTGCAATGCAGCGCTGACCCTCAAACACGAAAAACGTATATACGGTATGTCTACCTTGACAAATAAACGTTTGCACCTGTCTATTTTTTTTAAACAATTCTGAGTAAAAAAAAATGGTGAACGCGTGATTAATTCATTATCGGCGAACTGATTATCAATAGAACGAAACTTTTGTATATAAAAAAGTGTTTCAATATTCGAAGAAAAGGTGCTATGAAATAATATATAAAAATTGTTGGTTCTTTAAGAAAGTCGAGAATAATAAAGATCTGTGTGAATATTAAAATATTGATGTTGCCATGTGCAAAGTAAACGTCCACAAAGATGTGAGAACATTCTAAGCATCCATGACCAGGTTCACACTATCGTCCGTGGTTAGAGATGCGTTGCCGTCAATAGTATCTCCATCTTCTGGCTTGGGAACATGAAGTGGAACCGATAAGACCTGCGTTGTTTTTACAGATGCTTGATGCTTTAAGAACGAACTTTTTCCTGGAGAAAAAAATGATTATGTGAATATTAAAAAAAAACAATAATAACTTTGTCTATGACGTCTTTTTCAAAAGCTGAATGTTATGAACAATATATATTTGATCCACATAATATGCAACATGAAATACAATGTAACTAAAAACAATCAAAATGATGTTAAAGAATGATGGGCACTATGTTACTTTTCAAGAGATGAAAAAGTTTTGCACCAAAATTAGTGAGTGAAATGTTACTAAAAATATTTATTTCTCAAGTAAGCGAGGATGGGTACAGTGATAATAATTAGTGAATATGCTATATATGAATACAGATTACTCAGAGGGGTAAGAAGCGATAGGACCTATTATAAGGATGCAGCATTCAAAGTCAAGGTCGAATCGCCTTACCGTTTACGTCACTTACAGTGGAATCGCCTATTACAGTTGTATTCTCTGGCTCAAGATTAATTTGAATAACTTGTCCCGTCACATCTACCGATATATTGGAACAAAGTATCAGTCTGTGAAACTAAAAATCAATCCAAATTTCATTCGTTAGGATAACATGTTTAACATTCAAGGAGTACAAAAATGTCTCCTTTCAAGGTCAGTATTTTTGTTTTGTTTTGTTTTGTTTTGTTTTAGAATGGGAATATTGATTTGCTTGCATCAGGTAATATTTGTTTTAAACTTATAGTTCTATAGTCTTTTTATTTTTCCTTGAAATTATACGAAAATGGAGAATAATTGTATCACAAGTATCAAAGTATTATTTCACATTACATTTTGGTAAGATAAGTATGACTGGACTAGTAAAATATACAAATTCTCCGGGGATAATTTGACAATTTTCACAATGAAGTTATATAAATAGAACTGGAGATAGAGTCGCTGGACATTTCTGGTGACCAATTTTATTGGCACCTGGGGGTGCTACATTTCCGACCTCGGGTTGAACTCGCACGCTTCAATGAATTACATTAGATTTTGGTACAGTAAATATGACTGAACTTTGTAAAATTTAAGATTATTCATGGATGTACTAAATTTTGACTAATGAAAATATAAAGAATATGCGCAAATGATTGTAAGACGTAGTTAGTTTGTCTGGCCATTATTTAAGCGATTAACCCTAAAATGACATTGGTGTATAGTAGCAATAATTTCATACTTAAATGGTAGAAGTTTTTGTATCTATGCCATTAAGGCGAATTTATAAAGTCCAAGAACACAAAACAATTAACAAAAGAACATTACAGAACATAGTCAAAAAGATGAAATAGAAAAAGATGTTTCCTTTTTCCACTGAATGCGTAATGAGATTAGTTTGTTTTCTATGATTATGATTAGGGGTACATGCCTTGTACCACAAATATCTACGAATCAGATTGTAACAGACACATCAGCCTAAAATGTGTGCCAATATTTTATATTTTATTTACTGTATTACTAGTCATACATTACCGTGTATAAACAACAAGCACAGAGAAAACAACCACAGCAGACGATTTTCTCAACAGTTGTTCCACAGAATTTGTCTTCAATATCTTGATAAACATAATGATTCGTGACAAAAAGGCGGCCATACTGACATCTGACATCTGCTTTGACATTTTGTATAAACCAATCACTGATCGCGTTCCTGACGTCAAACTGTAAAAGATAACGGTGTGTGCTGAAGCACTGCGATATTTTCAAAGAATCTGTGCTTGTTCGTGTGTGTGATGCTTTCACATTTAACTGTCCTGGTGTGTGGTTTAGTGATTCACGTTTTATTGGACGTTGTTTATGGAACTACCCATGAGTCTTTGCGTTGGGACTCAATTCCCGCGCGTGCGCAGGTGACAACCCTCCCGCTTTAAATGACAAACAACATGCAACATGGCACACATAATATATAAGTCCTGTTCACTGTATAAACATTTTCGTCGTAAGGGGCGCTATTACAGGAAAGGTTTGTGTTGTGCCCACTGGTAGTGGCTTTCATGGCGTCGCTGATGGTTTGCGTGCAATTCAGAATATTGCTTTGATATAATTAATTTTACTTTACTCCAAATGACAAATATTATTCATATCAACATCTTTGATACGTGGGCGTGGCGCTTTGTTACCCCGGGGGACAAGACATACAACGAATAGGAACGTGCGCCTGAAATGGGTATCGTTTTTTTTTATTTTAGGTATAAGTATCGGTCTTATTTCTGGTCTGGTATAAATATCAGTAATATTTATTAACATTGTGTTAATATATGCTCTTATGTAAGTGACAGAGGTGTTTCTATGGTCAAAATACATATTTTAATAAATCAATATACAATGCAACTGTTGGCTTACATGTGCTTTTATAATTGGAGATGCTCTTTTTTAATAGAGCAAATACGGTAACTGTTTTATTTGGTATAAACAGTGGTGACAGAAATGGTACTTTGATATAAATATGGGTATAGATTTTGCCACTATCCTGGTATAAAAAATGGTCACACTTTTGAGCACTGGGGGGCACTTCCCTACCCAGCTATGTATCAACTGTCCCCCGGATTTTCACGTCTCTAGATGACTGTTATGAAACTGGTGTAAAACAACAAGTGTGTCAACATGCACTTATATAAAAATAGGTTCTCAGGTGCAACATATAAGTCCATGTAGTCAATAGCCACTAATACTAGATTAAGTAACCGTCACCATCACCGTGGACCGTTACTTTTACTAAGTCATAAATATTGAAGTTGCATAAAAATTCCTGAAATATCGAAGCATTATATCTAGCCTGCGCTGACGACCGTGGTGTTTTTAATCACCAAATCAAAGCCACTTTACTGCACTTGAGTTCTGTTAAATACGATTTCTCATAAGGTGTGCAAAACCCAAAACTTTTACGGCGCTTACAGGGGAAAGTGAGAGATGTCATGTAGGTCATACGAAGTGAGAATGCAACTTTTATAATAAAGTGAGGAACTAACCGTGAGGACAAATTTTTTGCCAGCTTTCATAGCGCTCCTAGCTTCATCGAGTGCTTTCTCTATCTGACCTTTGATTTGTGGATTGTTTGGATTCACTATCACCGCAAAATAACCTGAAATAAAAAAAACGGGTATTTGGTCTTTTTCTTGACTTACGTATTACCTGCCTTCACAACCTGTATATTTGGGTAATTGGGGATGAGATTATGTATGTGAACACTTCAAAATCAAACCTGTCTTTATCGAAAATTAAATTGTACCGCCTACCTTTTACTTGTTAATTATAGATGTAGATTCAAAAAGTACAAAAGTAAATTTTGGATCAAAAATGTCATACAAACAAGCAAATTAGTGCAATATATCATTCCTACATTGTACACATGTTCAAGTTACGTATTGTCGGTAAAATAAGCGCAGATACCAGGAACGAGTAATGTGTAGTCATGAATGTACCTCGGCAGGTCTCCTGCCACTAATCAACCAATGACCGTTCAATTTAAATGCCTTGCAAGAACCAATGGAATTTTTTTTAATATTTTTTTCTCAGGTGTGCCTTGTTTGAACTGAGTCAAAGGTGAGACTAACATGTGGTCTTTTGTTTATTACTTAACGGCTGTGTACCTGTGGGTTTATTCTTTGTGTATTTTTTCAGTGATGTCTCTAGGTGCAATCCAAATACAGTAGGTGTGTCTTGATTACCTGAGATTTGCAAGAGTTTGAGCTGGCCAACATGTTAGTTTTTTTTTCATGTGGTTGATTACTGGCATGACGGTTTTCCATTTTCCAATCTCCTCATATGTTAACATTGTCGTCTATGGAGTTTCAATTAATGGTATGAGTCCAGCAGACGACATTTACAGCTCGTTTTACGCATGCGCCTATACTCACCATCCCGAATGATTTGGTCAGCTTCTGAATTGTCGTTTTTCGTGTTTGCGCGTCTGCAATGTACATCTAGTAGACTTGGTTTCGATAATAACATCTCAGCCCACGCTTCAAGTTCTTCGTATTTCTCAACAGTTATTACTCTGTAAACAAAGCACGTGTTCGTAAACTTGAAAGGTAGTGTATACTTTTCAGAACCTCAGAACTCAGAACCAACTTTTCAAAACCTCAGAAGCAACTTTTCAGAACCTCAGGCAGAACCAACTTCTCAGAACCCAATTTCAAAATAGCTTCCTCATCATCGGAAGTCATCTTTTAGGTTATTATTAATATGACCACACCCAACCCCAAAAAATATGCAAATTAGCTAAATCCAGTTATTTCTTTTGATAATGACAATAATGACCCTCCCTCTCCAACAAAAACACTAAAACCCTAAAATTGTTAACGTCTTTAGTATTTCGATCGTGAAACAACAGCGTGTTCTTAACAACATTTCCTTTTAATAATATCTGTCTACGTAATAATATTGACTAATAGTGTTATGGGTTATCGACATAAACCCGACCAAAAATAATCATAGAGGTACGCCGATATGTTTATTTTTCGTCCGGTTCCTATCTTATTATATAGTACCGACCGCAAGCAACGTTTTGTACAACTGGTGGTTTTACAGCATGAGGTGTTAGTTTGAGTGAAAAATGGTTTGGCAAACAGTCGTAAAGGTAAAGCGGGGGAGTCATCACATGCGCATGCGTCAGATGGCCTTAGCGTGTCATTGTTTACAGACAAGTATCTAGCCATGAGCCTTTGCGTTTTTAGCGCGTGTTGTTATCGTCGCTTGGGACTCAATTCCCGCGCGTGCGCAGGTGACGTCCCTCCCGCTTTAACAGGGCATGAAATCAATGGCAACAACAATCTTCAATCACCTCGATGCGTAGTAAATAACAAATCAGTTTAGAAATGGGATAGAAACATAGAGAAAACCGTAAAACTTAGAAGGAAATAAAATGAAAATATTGAAGTCATTGACAAAACAATATAGAAACCTAGAATGAAAATACAACATAAAAGGAAAAAATTCAGAGAATATCCCGAAAATAGAAGTTAAAGAAAGCACTCAAATTAAAAAAAGTCAGAAAAATTAAAATAAAACATAAATGGCAATACTGTAATAGAAATCTCCAGAGAAATAAAATGTAACGAAATTGTAAGTATGTACTAATTAAATCGTGGTCGCGCAGTAGTTTATGGAATATGAACTACGAGCGCGACCACGTGATTTATGATTTGATACAATACAATAATATTGCTCGCACCAACACGTCTATAAGTGTAGTGGGTGTGACTCACCTTCTAGCTAACAAGATAACATCAAACAGTTAAGAGAGTACAGAGTCCACCATATAGTCCCATAAACATCAAAATTCATTGCAACATTGGATAAATATATACAATAAACTGGGATGCCGTGGGATAACGATTCATTGAAGCCCACCGAGACCAAAAGCCCATAGTCTCCACAATGTCCATGTACTTACCCGCCATTTGTGTTTGGAAAATATCCTTGATAACCCGGTGACTGGATAAATACGTTCATTCTGTCGTCATTTTGATAAATTCGCTTGATACCGTTTTCTATTTACCTTGGAATAACGCTGGCGGAGGGTTGCTGTAAAACTCCAGCATTGGACACACGCCAAGCATTAATTTCGTGTTCACGTTCAAGTTCAGCAAAGTCGTCATTGTTTTACAACAAGTCAAATACAAATACTAGGTACAACTTATGCCACAAACTCAAAAATCGTTAAGTCCTTGATTACCGCCTCTGAGTTACACACAAAATATAAGGGGCGTATCCTGTCAAAGTGCAATGACCGAAAACACGTTGGCTTTATACCAACACCATCGCTTTCCCAGATTCACAGCCTTGGCTCGTCGTACGTGGACCATGGACCTACATGGATGAACACACGAAAGTCAAGCCATCGTTCAACGTTGCCAGGGTCATCGATATTTGAACGATCTTCGCGATAGTCATTCCGATCCTGACTGCGTCATCAGACTTTGTTAACAAATCAGTTCATGACGTAGATTGCCCTCCCTTGATCAAATATCACCAAATGGGTCGATAACATGGCCCCATTCAACTATCAAGTGACCCGTGGTTACTGTTTATAAGCTTAAGTATGCCTGATTTTGAAACAATAAATTCTGATAAATAATAGTGGTACCGGACAACTGGGAATTTTTATATATAAAATGGCATTTTTCATAATAGAAGTGATATTAAAATGGCGATAGCTGTGGTTTTGAAAATTTGTTGTTTAAATATAACCTCATAAAGATTACCAAATCATACCAAAATATTGTTTTAGACACAAATGCAAGGGCAAAGTGATCCTGCACATGGCTAATAACACATATTATACGATGAACAATTTTGAAACTAAGGTCGAACCGTCTCCATTAAATTCTCACGTGACGGGGACCGTGGTAAATTATGATGCGCACTATTATGGGAAGTGACACATAAAATCATCAGTGAGGGCCGTAAGAGAAAAACTTGGCCTCTCAGGTTGGTGACGTATTTGATAATTCGCCCAGACACTCCGGTAAGTGACACAGAAAATGTTTTATTAAAATAACAATTCGGAGAAAAATCATCGACAGTTACAGCTATTGCCGCTTTAAAAGGCGACAATCGTCGCGCATCGTGCTCGAATTTCGTATAGACAAATATGTATTTGAAGCGTGGAGGTTGTCACCTGCGCATGCGCGGTAATTGAGTCCCACGCGACAATAACAACGCACGCTAAACTTGCAAAAAGCTTGTTTGTAAACAATGACACGCTATGGCCGTTTGACGCATGCGCAGGTGACAACTTACTCCACGGCTTTAACACGCGTTGTATACGTCCCTATAGGTTAAGTTTACAGCGACCTGTGCTGACCTGTGTTATTTTCTAGGACATGCGCAATGGTAGAATAATATTTTCTTCGATGTTGGCAAATCTGATAGATATGTTCGGAGTGGGGCATTCCAACATATCACATTTTAGACATTTTGACCTGATCTCACAATAACTGGGTATATTATTATTTTGTGTTGATATTGAATTAATAGGTTGGCACACCTTCTCATTCGTATTGATACAGTTCAGTTTGATGTATACAATTAGACAGAGGCAATATTCACTGAATATTGACAGGAATCGGAAACTCTTATAAGTAGCGCCCTCTGGTGACAAAGCACTTGGCGTAGCCAATCAACGTTGAAAGCACAAGAGGTTATGAAATCTTTCGGCTTTAAAATATATAGTAATATAGTATCTCTCAAAAATATGTTTTATTAACGAACGATCAACGATCAGAACGTTATCGAGGCGCTACTAACGGTATTACATCACGGAAACGTTTTGGTGGATAATGACCTATGACCTGAACAATGGATCACATGATTAAAATAGTTATGTATCACTATTGATAAGTTCAATTTGTTATTTTGCAAATAATTCATCACTGTGTGACAAACATTTTATTTTACATTACTACTTTTTGATTGTTGTGGCGTGGAAAAGAAAAATATTAAATGCTACCAGAAAATAAAAACAAAGGTTCTAGAATAAAACAAATATTTAATATATAAACGCAGAAAACTGAAAAGCATAAAATAAAATTCTTTTTTTGAAAGTTCGATGCCCTCAATTCATGCTTAAAAAGAAAATGTGTCATTTCGCCGTGTCACTATTAACGGAAAGCCAAAAAACTGTTCAATATGTTTGGACCGGTGCTTGGTCGTCTACGTTCAGAACTACTAGGAGATTTAGTTTGCAGACCGGCGCTTCTTGCATTACCCTTACATAATGTCTCCGTGGCTTTGACATGCCTGTAATCGGTTATATCGGTCATTGTCGTAGCATCTCGTGTTGATCGGAATAGCATCACTTCAGAAATACCCCGAATCTTGGCTTCAAGTTGTTGAATCGCAACTCGGTATTTCTCGGCCGCGATCGGTAACGGCATACTCCTCCTGGGCAACTGTGATCGGCTCGGTGATAACTTACGTGATAGGGTGGTCTTTTCCTCAGCAGTTACAATTGCATAGGCTCTTGTCGCCATGTTGGCTATCAACAACATTAATTTATTAACAGAACGACGTGTTTTGTATTTTCTCCAAGCTTTTTGTATTTTCCGAGAAGCCGCCTCTCGTTTCTTGACACGCAACACCATCGCCTTCTTCCAAATTCCGAGGTGCGAGTTAAGAGCCACTCGGGCTCTTTTCTTTTTAAGATGTTTTCATGCGTATATACCAGAATCGTACGGTGCATTGAACCAACACGGCAGCTTTGTAAAGACGTTGGCGATTCAAACGATGCGTCCTGTTGTATCGTCGGAGACAAAGTATACCGACGAACATCGCCGCTATACTCACGACAGTCGGCGATATAGTAATAAAATGTATTATATATAAAGCGAAGTTAATCAGTGTTAGCTGTATGTCTTCAAGTTCGCCGCTGTAGTATTCGTCTAAAGCCAGCGTAAACGAATCGTCAATGGTCGAGCTGGTGCAACGGCAATCTTCCTGGAATATGAGTCTAAGGAATACGCCGGAAATGCTATTGTCGCACTGAACACGGGATGACAGCGGCGTTAAGTACCACTCTAAGACGGCATCGCAATATGTAGATATCTGTGACGTCACCTCTTTGATTGAACTTACTATCGCCCTCTGTGCCATCACGTTAACAACGCGAAAAGACAGACGTAGTTGTTTCGAACGTGACATGCTGGGTACGCCATGGTCCAGGCTGACCAAATGAACGTACGCCATGCCCAGGAGTGATAACACACATGCTGTTACCAACAACTTCCTAACGATACCCATTCTGTGGAAATGAACAAAATATATAGGATGGTTAGTATTTAATTATTATAATACAACTTTTCCATAAGTGGTAACGAAGCGTTTCTGCGTGGTGAATGTGTGTATTTGAAATGAATGCCATTCACAACTGATCACTGTTTTTTATTTGTATTCGTCTGTCAAAAAATAATGTTTGAGAGTTTTTTTACTAAATTCTAGAATACGAAAGACTATACACAACCAAACACAGTTGTCGCTTTGACGAGACGGAAACATTTGTCGATATAGCGCTCAACTCGCAAAAAGCTGTATCGAAAAATGACAGACCTACTAATTGTATTTTCTGTAAATAAACGAAATCAAGACAGTTCAAATGCTTTTAACACGAGCTAGTATACCACCATGGGTGAGTATCAACTGCATAATTTAGCATTCAACATTGTGTTTAGACTGGCCCAGTCGGGGCGATTAATTTGTTTTTGTAGTTTAAATAAAATAAAAAAAACGCGAAATGGAGGTGTTAGCGCGAAATCCTCTGCAGTGTAACTGCGAAATCACCCCAGTCGGGGCGATTAATTTGTTTTTGTAGTTTAAATAAAATAATTAATTTCGTGATTTCGCGCTAATACCTTCATTTCGCGATTTTTTTATTTTCATTTCGCGTTTTTTTTTTTATTTTATTCAAACTACAAAAACAAAGTAATAGCCCCGACTGCGCCAGTCTACATTGTGTTCAGCTCTTGATTTAAAAGATGTCATTTGCACATTTATTTATTTCAGCCACTTTTTATTCGGAAAACATGTATTATAAATGTATACATTTTCAAAGTTTTCTCGTAGACAAGGTAAAGTCCCAATTACTCAGCGAAAACAACCAGACAACAGGAATCCGAAAATAACACCTAATTGTCCTAGTGAATTGGGTCAGAATGTTTATTTGGTTGGCCGAAAATTGTCACGTCGATGTCGCGGTACCAACGCCAACATCGCAAATTTTAACAAAGTACTAGGACTAGTGGCATGAGTGCACGAAATATTGAGTCCTAGTGCAGAGTGTCATTTTTATGATTCGTCGACGTTTGGGATTATATCAAATTCTAATTTCCGCATAAATACCCGAGCCGCCCGGCAGATACCAATGTGCAATTTTCTATATACAAGACGCCGTTGTTCTTTGAAATTGAGTCACGGTATTCAGTGACAATTATTAACAAGTTGGTTGGGTACTGAAATATAATTTCATGCAAATCAGATTATTTCCGAAAACTTTCATGGTGGCAGCAACGATTCAGTAGCGCTCCAAAGATGCAAGAAATTCGAACTACAAACACAAACAAAAGTGAAAAGGCAATTGTGAACTCACCTTTCTGCTGCTAAACGTAACTTTCTCCGGCCATTTTATGGTGATAAGTTTATATTTTGACAGGAAATCGACAACTGCAGTATACAAAGTACGGTAACATGTGCAAATGGACGCAAGAGTGATTTTGTTCCAGAACGCAATTGTCGCGTCACATCGCGGAGGAGCATTCGACACCACGCGAGATTTTGTAGCGTCGCGTCACGCGCCCTCAGCCGAAATAAGATCGAAGTATGCATTCACGTTTAATGTTTTGTTCATATACTTATTTATTTGTCTCCTCGACATGACAATCGCATGGATTGCCGCAGTTTTCTGTATTCGTGAACAATTCTTGCAGCTGGTGGGGCGTGTTTTCTGGTATTGTATAGACACCACGGTAACATGTCTGATTACACTGCCAGCCTGGATCCTGGATAAAATTTGGGTTAACTGCAGATAACCAGATACCCATCGAAACGTCCTCGCCCTGGTAACGATGTAAAAAGTCTTTATTCCTCGCTAACCAGCCAACGAGATCCGACGACAGTACGTACCCAGAACCACACGCGAACATCGGATACTCGCTAGCCGTGTAAGTCAACTCCGCCCACTTGCCAAAACTGTTTATTGGCCAATGTTTACGGAACTGGCTCCACCAAAATTTGTCGGTTCTCCGCAGTTCAAGACTGCGCAGTTTGTGTGCGATGCGCTCAATGTCCACGTAACAGTCGTCGTCCGTCTTCAAGAGAAAATCGAACTCAATGTTACGGAATGCCCAATCGTAGAATTCAACTAATTTGTTGGGTATGTTTCGATATGTATCAACTTCGTCGATTAACACAATGTCATTAAATTCCAATATTTCCTGATTTATCAAATCGGTCTCCCGTTTCTTAGCTTTCATCCATTTTTCCATAGTTTCACTTCGTCTTGATATTACGTCGCTGTCGTCGTCTGTCTTCGGAAAAATAAACATAAAGTTGCCTGCGGCGTAAAATATTTCTTCTTGATATCGTTCCCATAAAACTGGGAGTTGGTTACTAGCATGCGAACCGTGTCGAATTCTTCCAAGACTTACCAACCCTTTCCCATTGTCAATAATATCGCATCTTTCTGCTTTGCACTTCAAGGCAGGATTCTGGGAGTTCATGTTTTCAACAACTACGGTACCTCTGAATCCTTTTGGTAGAACGTAGGATTCCACGGTACGGAATCTGAAATTCCCCTTCAATAAACCTGGACTTTGTGTTGTGAATATCGCACCCACGACACGCTCGTGACTCACCGTGTCGTACAATGTCACTTTCAAATATGACGACTTAATGCCGTCTAACTGGAAATCAAACACTCCTAACGCAGTGATGACGATATCACGGTTCGACACAAAGTCCTGGCTATAAATG